CATCGGTTGGTGTTAACCTTGCCCGAAAAATCCCACAGACTCAGACACTTATTTTTTTTTTTGAGATATATACAAGAGTTGTTACATTCTTGTACAGCCACTAGTACACGTAGCGTTTCGGGCAAGTCCTTAATCCTATGGTCCCTGGAATACGATCCCCTGCCGCGAAGAATCGTTTTTTCATCCAAGTACACATTTTACTGTGCGTTTAAACAGAGGCTACAGTTAAGGAATTGCGCCCAGTAAATCCTCCCCGGCCAGGATACGAACCCATGACATAGCGCTCGAGGAACGCCAGGCGACTGTTTTACCACTACACCACGGAGACTTATTAACACATATCTCTCAGGCAGCTGCCCAAACTCTCTTCTCCTCTCACCACTCAGCCCTACAGATGTTGTGTCCATCATTCACTCACTAACAACCAAAGCTGGGAACATCAGTGAAATACCATCCATGGAATACAAGAGCGCCTCCATGCCCTTGGGCCACCTATAGCTCTGCTGTTCAACAAATCCCTTGGTGTCATACCTTCCCTGATATCCTTAAAAAACTAAGAGTAACGCCAGTTCATAAAGGAGGCAATCCGGCAGACATAAACAATTACAGACCAATATCAAATCTACCCATATTATCAAAAATATTTGAAGAAATTATTTACAAACAGCTCTACTCCTGTCTCGTAAAATACAACATACTAAGACCCTGTCAGTTTGGCTTCCGCTCCCAAAAGAGTACCAATGATGCAATTGTTAGTCTCCTTGACTTAATCTACTCAGCCCTTGACAAAAATGAGTTTCCGATTGGACTCTTTATTGATAAGAGAGAAAAGAAAAGCCTTTGATACTGTTAATTACAACTACCTCTTATTAAACTCCACCATTGTGGAATCCGAGGCCTTGCCCTTGACTATATCCGATCATATCTTAGTGACAGACACCAATATGTAGTCATCAATGATATAACCTCTCCCACTCTACCACTCTACCACTAACCGTAGGGGTACCACACGGCAGCATCCTGGACCTCTCCTATTTCCAACCCGTTCTCGCAAATTTAATAAGTCAATATTGACTTATTAAGTATGTGCATAGGTGACATACTTAACATAATAGATACCCGTAAAAAGATTCATAGAAAACACTGACCTTACCTAACCTACTTAGTATGTTAAGATAAGCATCTTATTGCTTCGTAATTACAATTATTACTTAACCTATAATAGGTATAGGTTAAGTAATAATTGTAATTACGAAGCAATAAGATGCTTATCTTAAGATACTAACAAGGTTAGGTAAGGTCGGTGTTTTCTATGAATCTTTTTAAGGGTATCTATTATGTTAAGTATATCACCTATGCACATAGTTAATAAGTCAATATTGACTTTACGAATTTGCGAGAACGGGTTGCCTATTTCTTATATACATCAATGACCAAACTAATATCTCTAACATTCTTACACCTATATTATTTGCTGACGATTAAACCTTCATCTACTCAGATAACAATCTACACATTTAAATAATGTTGTAAATAATTAATTAAAAAAAGCCCACTTATGGATGTCAATCAACAAACTCACACTTAACATAGCTAAGATTTACTACATCTGATTTGGAAGCAAATCAACAAATGCAATTCACCTTCAGATAGACAATGTTAACATTAGCAATAAAAATGATGGAAAGTTCCTTGGTCTATACTTAGACAAGAGACTCAACTTCAGTACCCACACACAACACATAACTAAGACAGTCTCAAAAACGGTTGGAACACTCATTAAAATCAGATATTATGTTCCGAACTCTACTCTCATCTCGCTATACTTCGCGCTAATCTATCCCTATCTTACATATGGTATCAGTGCATGGGGGTTCAACCTCTCCAAACTACCTGAAGTCCATCATCACCCAGCAAAAATCTGCTATCAGAACAATAACAAACTCTGCTTTCAGACAACACTCAACTCCCTTGTTTAAATCCCTAAACATTCTAAACATAAACTCACTCCACACATTCTCTTATGCTATTTACAGCTACAAAACCCTGTTTTTAAATGCAAATCCTGCTCTGAAACTCTCCCTGGACAGATGTAATAGGACCCATTATCACCACACCAGAAATAAATATGTCTTTGATATCCCCGAAGTCAAACTTAATCTGTGTAAACACTCTATGCAAATATAGGCACCAGGGGCCAGATTCACGAAAGCACTTACGCAAGCACTTACGAACGTGTACATCTTTCCTCAATATTTGACGGCTTTGGTTACATTTATTAAACAGTTTACAAGCACGAAAACTTCCCAATCAACTGTTGTTGTTGTTATAAACAGCCTCCTGGTGCTTCGGAGCTCATTAACTGTTTAATAACTGTAAACAAAGCCGCCAAAGATTGAGAAAAGATGTACAGGTTCGTAAGTGTTTGCGTAACTGCTTCGTGAATCTGGCCCCTAGTCTATGGAACTCACTCCCTAGTGAATTAAAAAGCTGTCCAACTTTTGCATCATTCAAAAATAAAACTAAAAAGTACCTAATTTCATCTTCAAACTAAAAAGTACCTAATTTCATCTTCATAGTTTCCTACCTTGCGCTTTAATTAACTCGCACTGCGTCTAGTGCTACCCAATCCCCCAATATATGTACCTAAGTCATATAACTTCACCATTATAGTCATCGCTATAATCTTATATCATCTTGAGATCTTGAGATTATCTTGAGATGATTTCGGGGCTTTTTTTTAGTGTCCCCGCGGCCCGGTCCTCGACCAGGCCTCCACCCCCAGGAAGCAGCCAGTGACAGCTGACTAACACCCAGGTACCTATTTTACTGCTAGGTAACAGGAGCATAGGGTGAAAGAAACTCTGCCCATTGTTTCTCGCCGGCGCCTGGGATCGAACCCAGGACCACAGGATCACAAATCCAGCGTGCTGTCCGCTCGGCCGACCGGCTCATGGTTATATTGAACGCAGATTTTACTACATTATACCTTGAAATAATCCTCAAATTATGCTACCATGTACATGTTTATAACCCTCAAATTATACTTTAATGTACCTACTAATCTATGTCAAATTTTCTTACCATATACCAGTTCAAATTTTTCAATTTTGCTAGAAATTACCTACATAAAATTATCTGTTAGTGTTAAGAACCTGCCAGACACGATATGCGTGTTAATGACTTTACTTCTAAGTGCCGTTGATGTGAAAACATCAACGTTATGTGCTCTCATAAATGTACCTTCTTGTATAGGGCCCTCGTAGCCTGGTGGATAGCGCGCAGGACTCGTAATTCTGTGGCGCGGGTTCGATTCCCGCACGAGGCAGAAACAAATGGGCAAAGTTTCTTTCACCCTGAATGCCCCTGTTACCTAGCAGTAAATAGGTACCTGGGAGTTAGTCAGCTGTCACGGGCTGCTTCCTGGGGGTGGAGGCCTGGTCAAGGATCGGGCCGCGGGGACACTAAAGCCCCGAAATCATCTCAAGATAACCTCAAGATATATAAATAAATAAATAAATAAATATATAAATACATAAATAATTATGTGGAGTCCCTGAGCACATCCAGAATGTAAGTATCAGAAATTATGTGACAGTCTATGGACACATTTGATAATTTTTACCCAATGAGAAGTGGTGGAGGCGTGAGGGTGTGACTCAACGCTCACACACGGCAACCCGTTCTCGCAAATTTGTAAAGTCAATATTGACTTATTAACTACGTGCATAGGTGATATACTAAACATAATAGATACCCTTAAAAAGCTTCATAGAAAACACCGACCTTACCTAACCTTGTTAGTATCTTAAGATAAGCATCTTATTGCTTCGTAATTACAATTATTACTTAACCTATGGGACACTGAGGGAAGCGTCAAGGTCGCCCTCAAGCTCGAGGAGGAGGCGCAGGATGTATCCTGTATAACACAGCCCTAGGCTTAAGCCTGTATAACACAGCCCTAGGCTTAAGCCTGTATAACACAGCCCTAGGCTTAAGCCTGTATAACATAGCCCTAGGCTTAAGCCTGTATAACACAGCCCTAGGCTTAAGGTCAAGTCTTCAACGCGCCAAATAGGTCAGCCACAGCGGCGCTAAGTGTGCACCTCCCCCTCATACCAACTGTGGGAGGCCGTTATCTTGAGATGATTTCGGGGCTTTTTTAGTGTCCCCGCGGCCCGGTCCTCGACCAGGGGCCACACACTTACGCAAGTACTTACGAACGTGTACATTTTTCCTCAATCTTTGACGGCTTTGGTTACATTTATTAAATAGTTTACAAACATGAAAACTTGCCATTCAACTGTTGTTATTGTTATAAACTTCGGAGCTCATTAACTGTTTAATAATTGTAAACAAAGCCGCCAAAGATTGAGAAAAGATGTACAGGTTCGTAAGTGCTTTCGTGAATCTGGCCCCAAGCCTCCACCCCCAGGAAGCAGCCCGTGACAGCTGACTAACACCCAGGTACCTATTTACTGCTAGGTAACAGGGGCATAGGGTGAAAGAAACTCTGCCCATTGTTTCTCACCGGCGCCTGGGATCGAACCCAGGACCACAGGATCACAAATCCAGCGTGCTGTCCGCTCGGCCGACCGCCACCACCTCGCCGTGCATGTGTGGGCTGGCCAGAAATTGAGGCAGTAATTGTTTATGTGGCAACATCGAGGCCCGCTGAGGGAGCGTGTTCTTAAACTTCAGAACGTTAGTGTTACTTTATAATGAATAGAAACATTATTCACTACGAGGGACGAACTACTGGAATAGGAGGAACTATACTGGAGGGAGAGAGAGAGAGATCACACACACATATCAATACAACAGAGGACATACACACACGGTGTATACAAATGCTCCCTGCAGCCACTTCTGTACATGTCAGATACCAGTAACAATTAATTTCAGGGAGTCCATAACTTAGAGAAACACTGACTAAAGACAGTTGAGCCGTGGTACCCATACAGGGGGCGAGGAGCTTCCCTGGTATTGTGACTACCAACCTGGACCATATCCCTGGTGGTGTGGTTGGTGGTGTGGCTGGTGTGGTGTGCGGGTGTGTGGTGGGGGTCAGGGAGGATCAGCTCCAGCAGGGCCGACCAGTCCTGCCCCCACAGGTCTCCTGCAACAACCACACGACGTTATTCTCTCATTCCACTTGATTGGCTGTAATTATCTTATTTTATTAAAATATCAAAATGTTAATATTTAATACATATTTTATTGTAGACATCGATAATGCAAGAATATTATAGCTTAAATTACGCCTATCAGCCAATATATATATCTTTATATATCCATTTAAATTACCGCGGGAGTCTAACCCGGGACCTTTCGATCGGCTGTGACCCACCATTGGGCTCACTACCCACCACCAGCACACACTCTCTCCACCACTCATCACCACCAGCACACACACCCTCCACCACTCACCACCACCAGCACACACTCTCTCCACCACTCATCACCACCAGCACACACACCCTCCACCACTCATCACCACCAGCGCACACACCCTCCACCACTCATCACCACCAGCACACACACCCTCCACCACTCACCACCACCAGCACACACACTCGCCACCACTCATCACCACCAGCACACACACCCTCCACCACTCATCACCACCAGCACACACATCCTCCACCACTCATCACCACCAGCACACACACCCTCCACCACTCATCACCACCAGCACACACACCCTCCACCACTCATCACCACCAGCACACACACCCTCCACCACTCATCACCACCAGCACACACACCCTCCACCACTCATCACCACCAGCACACACACCCTCCACCACTCATCACCACCAGCACACACACCCTCCACCACTCATCACCACCAGCACACACACCCTCCACCACTCATCACCACCAGCACACACACCCTCCACCACTCATCACCACCAGCACACACACCCTCCACCACTCATCACCACCAGCACACACACCCTCCACCACTCACCACCACCAGCACACACCCTCCACCACTCACCACCACCAGCACACACCCTCCACCACCACCAGCACACACACCCTCCACCACTCATCACCACCAGCACACACACCCTCCACCACTCATCACCACCAGCACACACACCCTCCACCACTCATCACCACCAGCACACACACTCTCCACCACTCACCACCACCAGCACACACACCCTCCACCACTCACCACCACCAGCACACACACCCTCCACCACTCACCACCACCAGCACACACACCCTCCACCACTCACCACCACCAGCACACACACCCTCCACCACTCACCACCACCAGCACACACACCCTCCACCACTCATCACCACCAGCACACACACCCTCCACCACTCATCACCCACACTCAACTTGTGATCCAACTACGGGTCATCACCTGTGAGAACAGGAAGATGAGAGGAAATGTCAGCACTGTGGAGAAATGCCAGATAGACCACTGGATCATTATCTAACACAGTGCACAGTTACTACCACAACAGACCACTGGATCATTATCTAACACAGTGCACAGTTACAACCCATTTAAGATTTCAACTTTGATTCAACAGGGCAGAAGAAGTTGTTAAACACGTGGGACAAAATCTTACTGAAGCGACCATACGAGTCATAAATACTCATACTCCACCCAAGTAAAACAGAAACAAGCAACACTTAGTGGGCCAGCCAGAGGCTTAGGGCCCGCCCAGTGGGCCAGCCAGAGGCTTAGGGCCCGCCCAGTGGGCCAGCCAGAGGCTTAGGGCCCGCCCAGTGGGCCAACCAGAGGCTTAGGGCCCGCCCAGTGGGCCAGCCAGAGGCTTAGGGCCCGCCCAGTGGGCCAGCCAGAGGCTTAGGGCCCGCCCAGTGGGCCAGCCAGAGGCTTAGGGCCCGCCCAGTGGGCCAGCCAGAGGCTTAGGGCCCGCCCAGTGGGCCAACCAGAGGCTTAGGGCCCGCCCAGTGGGCCAGCCAGAGGCTTAGGGCCCGCCCAGTGGGCCAGCCAGAGGCTTAGGGCCCGCCCAGTGGGCCAGCCAGAGGCTTAGGGCCCGCCCAGTGGGCCAGCCAGAGGCTTAGGGCCCGCCCAGTGGGCCAGCCAGAGGCTTAGGGCCCGCCCAGTGGGCCAGCCAGAGGCTTAGGGCCCGCCCAGTGGGCCAGCCAGAGGCTTAGGGCCCGCCCAGTGGGCCAGCCAGAGGCTTAGGGCCCGCCCAGTGGGCCAGCCAGAGGCTTGGGGCCCGCCCAGTGGGCCAGCCAGAGGCTTGGGGCCCGCCCAGTGGGCCAGCCAGAGGCTTGGGGCCCGCCCAGTGGGCCAGCCAGAGGCTTAGGGCCCGCCCAGTGGGCCAGCCAGAGGCTTAGGGCCCGCCCAGTGGGCCAGCCAGAGGCTTAGGGCCCGCCCAGTGGGCCAGCCAGAGGCTTAGGGCCCGCGCAGGAATATCCTTGGAAAAAAAAACTATGAGAAGGTCGCAGACTGCATGCATGCTGCCTTTTTATTTAGACAAAACATTTAAATCTTTGCTGATCACTATTTAACTTATCTCTCCTACAACGGCCTTCCCGTTATCCACGTCCCACCTCCACTCTCTCACACAACCCAACCTCTCAAACAGTTCCAATTCCTTCATCTTTTTCTTGAAAGTTGATGCAGTTTACATGAAGGATCTGTCCTCCCGATGACTGCACAAGTACACATGTTGGGAGAGACGTTTATGTTGAGGATGATGAACGTGTTTCAAAATGATGAACGTGTTTCAAAATGATGAACGTGTTTCAAAAGTGCTTGTGTCGCCGTGTAGTAGACAGAGGAGCGGCGACTACAACAGAGGTGTGCATAGGTGACATACTAAACATAATAGTTTCCCTTGAAAAGCTTCATAGAAAACACCGACCGTACCTAGCCTACTTAGTATGTTAAAATAAGCATCTTATTGCTTGGTAATTACAATTGTTACTTAACCTATTATAGGTATAGGTTAGGTAATAATTGTAATTACGAAGCAATAAGATGCTTATCTTAACATACTAATAAGGTTAGGTAAGGTCGGTGTTTTCTATGAAGCTTTTCAAGGGAAACTATTATGTTAAGTATGTCACCTATGCACATATTTAATAAGTCAATATTGACTTATTAAATTTGCGAGAACGGGTTGGTTGTAGGGAGACTTGCCGCACCGTAGGGCGGTGTGTTGTGTTTATGGCGTCAGCTGATCCTTGGTGCTGCCACGAGGCAGTTGTTGTCTGTGTTTAGCTGTTGGTGGCGCGAGGTATATATGTGGCACTGGTCCAACCCGTTCTCGCAAATTTAATAAATCAATATTGACTTATTAAATATGTGCATAGGTGACATACTTAACATAATAGATACCCTTAAAAAGATTCATAGAAAACACCGACCTTACCTAACCTACTTAGTATGTTAAGGTAAGCATCTTATTGCTTCGTAATTACAATTATTACCTAACCTATAATAGGTATAGGTTAAGTAATAATTGTAATTACGAAGCAATAAGATGCTTATCTTAAGATACTAACAAGGTTAGGTAAGGTCGGTGTTTTCTATGAATCTTTTTAAGGGTATCTATTATGTTTAGTATATCACCCACGGGTCAGATGTGACCCAATTTGTTGGTCGACTGGAGATATTTAACCAGTGCTTTGACTATTTGCTATTTTTCTTGTAACGAGTGGTCACCGCCTCCTAATATATGCTTGATGGTAAAGGGTATTTTAAGTGAAATAAGTACTTGTTTGAAATTTACTCTGGCACTATAATGTCGGAAGCAGTGAAGGAGATAGTGATTGTTTCAGGCACCTGACAGTGAGTACAGAGTTCGTTGATGTCTGTTCTGTACTTAGTGTGCTGCTAGTTTGGTGTATCCCGACCTTAATCTGGTCATCGTTACATCAATTTCTCTGTTTTTATATCTGACTTGTTTCCAAGTTTCCCATTTCTTTTTAATTGACCCATAGTGCAAAGGTGAAGATGACGTTGTCCATTTCGTTGTAAAATTTTGGGAGATGGTATTTTTGAAGGTTCCTTTACGTGCAACATGGGGAATTGGATGACGGGTAATGTGAGGCGTGTTGTGCATCGCTTTGGCTAGTTGATGTACTGGTTCATATTGGAGTATACCCAATGCGCTGGGACCCATTGGATAGAGGTGTCATAACCGTACAATCGATGTTCATGAAGTTGAAGACATGGGTAAACAAACTCTTTGCACGTCGTTGAAGAGTTCGTAGTTGCTTGAATCACATTCTTGGAGTCACTGCAGATTGTATATGTCCCAACTGGTAATGTTGAGATTATCTGGAGAGCTTGATATAAGGCATATAATTCAGCTGTGAAAATAGATAGCTGGTTTGGTAACCGCCATCCCTACTTGAGATGGTATTCAGGTATCCATACAGCGCTAGTGACCGAGGGTACGTTGTTCATGATGATGCGAGATCCATACTTAAGGTACCATTGGAGGGGAGTATGTACTAGCCATTCCATGACTTTACTGAGGTATGATAGTAAGGAGATAGGTCTTTATGACGCAGGTTGGGATGGGTCTTTTCCTGGTTTAAAGAAAGGAAGTATAATGGTCTGCCATTGTGAGGGAATATTTCCGTGAGTCCAGCATAGGTTGTAATAGTTTAGAAAAGTGCTATGTGCAGTCGACTGAAAATATTTGATAAGTTAATATGGAATTCCATCCTCTCCAGGTGCCTTACCAAGAGGTAGGTGGGTTAAGGCTAATTGAAGCTCGCTTAAGGTGTACATGTTGTCGACGCCGAGCATGGGTAGCAGTGTGGCACGGTCAATTTCTTATCTGAGGGAGAGTTCTTGGGCATGAAAGAAGGGTGTTGAGAGGGTAACTTTAAGACATTCAGCAAGAACATTTGCACGCTCCTGAGGTGTTTGACAGAGTGAACCGTTGATCATCAGGGGAAACGAAGGGAATGTTGGGCGACCTTTAATGCTGTTAAATGTAGCCCAGACTTTTTAATGTGGCGTGGTGGGTGTGAGGCTATCACAGAATGTTGCCCATGATGCTCTCCTTGCTGACTATGTTTTTTGGCCGCTGCTGCTGTGGCCCGCCGGAGACTGACCCAGTTCTGTAGGGCGGGTTGACGTCTCTGTTCTTGTATGGCTC